GCGGCCGCCGGCTCCGGGCTCGGCGCGGCCCACTCCACTTTCCGGGCCGCCGCCGCGCCCGGCCGGCCCGCCACCTCGCCGGGCCACGCTCCCACGCGTTGTTTTACTGAGTACACGGGCGAATGCCGGGCGCTCACAATGCAGAAAACGCGCCGACCCGAATGGCTGGCTAAGCGCGAAGGCGGTGGGAAGCGGTCGATTCGGCGGGGCGCCTCAGCCGCCGGCTCGTCCGTATCACTTCATTGCGGGGCACGTGAATGCTTTGGAAAGTGCTTGAGGGAAATTCGGTGATTACATACTACATAGGCCAACATGTCCGCGGTAAAAGCGGTAGTCGCTCGGGCATCGCTGTCGGCAACGGCCGCTGTGACAAACGACTCTCCGGAGCCGGAAGTGATATTTGTTACACTCATCACCACATTATTCGTCTGATCACGTGCATTGGAAGTGTACCCCCGTTTGAGGCACTTGACTGTATCGTGAACAACTGGATTCTGGGCTTTGTGATGTCTACTTAATGCTGTGTTTGGGAAGCAGCTTCTGTTCACCTTCTGTTGACGTGCTAGCCTAGAGCTAGCACGTCAACTAACACGACACTGATCTAATATACTTTGCTTTCGTTTTTCATGTATTTTGCCCAAACGCAGCTTTGATATTTTCACGATGAGCCAAGTATCATCGCTCACAGAGACAATCCGCCTAAAACACACCCAAAGCAGACATGCCTTGTGACTCCCTCCCAAAAACGGCGCCAGACACGGGCTCACCCATATCCAAACACACAACCCTTGGGAGTCCATCAGGCACTAGACGCTGCAAGCAGCCCACCACTGCTCCGGCGCCAGGTCAGTAGCTTTTTGGACGGCAAGGACAGTGCGTCTCGACCTTACAGCTCTAGTAGGCGGCGGCAGACCACCAGGCCCGTTGCCGTCCAGCAGCGGGGTCGGTGGGGGCCGGGGGGGGGGGGGGGGCGAGGATCCACCCGATCTGTCATTACAACCGCGAATCGCCATTATCACACCACATCAGCACGCCTAGCCGCCTTCAGCTGCTCACGCCGGCACAAAGTTAGCGGCAGACCGGCAGCCGCGTCAGAAGGCGCTCTCCTGCGACGGCGTGGTGCGGGCACGACCGCCGTCGGCACGCCACTCAGTTCCCACAGGGGCACTCCTCCACGCCGCGGCTCCCAGAAAGCACCCGACACCAGCACCGGCCAGTGGCTGGCACACCCCGTAGACCGGCCCGCAGATACACTCGATAGGGGCATCGCGACGCCGGGCCTTCGGTGCGCCGGGTGTCGGCTTCACCACCACGCCGGGAGGCGTTCACGTCTAGCGTACCGGGCCCGGCTCGCCCCACATCCAACACATCCTCTAGCGTACCGGGCCCGGCTCGCCCTACATCCAATACATCCTCTAGCGTACCGGGCCCGGCTCGCCCTACATCCAACACATCCTCTAGCGTACCGGGCCCGGCTCGCCCTACATCCAACACACCCTTAGAGACGACGCTGCAGATGCTGATACACAATAAATCGCTGGTGACTACGCGGACCAGGTGGAAAATAATCAGCTTAAGTTGTGGAGAAAAACCTGCGAAAATATACGGCTCAGTCTCGTACCTTTTGGCACGAGGAATCAGCGTAAAAATTGTGGTTTATTTTTTGTGATGAACTGCGCCTCCACGACATCTATGCCAGTGACAGCAAAGTTCACATCAGTGAGCTCTACAGCCGGAATTTTCACAAGCAATCGCGTCGTTTGTTAGCATTTGTGCCGGGCCTGGTCTCATCGAATCAACACAGTATCACAGCTTCTCCGAGGCCTTTAATGCTCGAAAATGAACGTAGGCTAACATAACAGCTAACAGAGTAAACACTACGCATCCTCCAATGCATAGTTCGGTCGTGGTGTGTGGGTATGGCCTATGCATTGTTATGCCAGTCGGGTGTTATGCAGTTAGCAGACTGGTGAATCGCCTAAGACTAAGCTGTTGGCCAGATCTGACACCCGACCAACAACAAAGCCATAGCGCAAGCCAAATGAAAAGCCGTGAAAACGTATTTCAAGCACTTGAGTAACACCAAGAAAAAAAACGAAGCAAGCAGTTACTTATCATTTTAAGAGTCGTACGCTAAGCGCTCTCCGCTCCTTTATTCCCGTTGCAAGTGAGTTACCTGTTAAGTTACAACTGACTCGAGCGCAGCCATGCAATCCTGGACTGGTCTTTTTTATTAAAAAGTCTGTGTATTTGTCGGCGCTTGATTGACACCATTTGGCGAACATCGCGAACTGTCTATTTTGTACACTGCAGTGCAGAACACACATTCAGTCGCGAATGACGACAGCACCAACAGCCCCCTCCGCGCGGCATTCCCTCAGAAGGCACCTGCCGCTGTTAGACCGCGCGCTGGTGTGACCACCGCACCGACCATCTAAGCAACACGGCCGGAAATTCAAGCATACGAACACATGCTTTTCCTTCTGCCCGCGGTAACGCAAGGCGACAAGTGGTAATTTTTTCATTCGTTGCACAGCGCACGTCGGCACGGCTGCGAGTGCTGCACACAGGTATCAGCCGCGATTCGTTGAAGGAGTCTGTGAACATTGAAGGTTCGCGCATTGGACCGACGGCTAACGCAGGCCAATGTTTTTCGTGAAACAGACCGTGAGCCATAACGGAACTACAGATAACAGGGACGCAGTGGGCACTTGAGCAGAGAACAATTGACTAAACCGAAAAAGAACCTTCACTTGCACCCCTCAAGACCACATCAAAAACAAACACGCGCCCAATGACGTCTCAAGAGATACTGCGATCCTATACATCACTTGCATACTAACCGCAGCATATTCCAAGTGGCGTGCAACCTGTGAACGATAACAAAACACCGACCCTTTTACGGATCTAGGCCCCTAAATCTGACAAAAGACAAATAATGCACTAATAGATGAAGCAAAATCATTAAAAAACATTCGCAAATTGTTTACACTTCCAAATTTAGATGTTGCAAGGGCTCTAGTCTTTACGATGATCTGTTTTACAGGACTAATCCATGCGGAACCAACATCGGGCAGACCGTAAGCAATCTATTTAATTGGCCTTGGGAAACCTCCTTTTGGAAGCTGACAGTGGAACCCTGACCGCACTGCTCTCCACAATATACGACTGTTCGTTCCAACGGAGATCCGGCCGTCACCACGAGCTGAGCCGCTCTCTGGGCGCTGATGGCAGCCTTCCATGCCGGGCCCGTGGCCCGGCGGCTGTCCGCCGCCGCCCCCGCCCCGGCGCCGTGAACAGGTGACGACCGCGGCGCGTGGCACGTGTCGGGCGTCCGACGCCCGGGCCGCCGCCGGACAAAGATGACCGGTCGGCGCATCCGTCGCATTCCCACTGCGTCGCCATTCTGGCCGGCTCCGGCCGCATTGTGCACAACCCGTCCAGTCGGCCACAAAAGGGGCGCCGGCCACGCGGGCATTACCGGCCCTGGCCCAGCCGACAAAGCCGGCTGCGCGCGCTGAGGGTCGCGTGGCGTTCGTCTCAAAAGGGTTCGATTGATGGGTCCGATGGAAGAAACAGGACAAGGCTCCAAAATAGCGCCGGTCTGTGTCGAAACATAGCGGTAATCGGCTAAATCGCCCGGGCCGCGCCAATGGCATGCCAGCACGACAATGGACTCACACAGCTCTTTATGGACAACGGCGACGCGCTGTTTGCAGGACAACTGTGAATGGATTAAGTATACATACACTTCAGGCCATGGGGAGGGGAGAGGGGGCATGGGAAAGTGTACACAGCGATGACAAACATACCCTTTGCATGGGACCGAGAAAGGTGAAAACATCACAATGTGATTATCCCTAAAGCGCATCGCCGAAAAAAACTCACACCTAGGCTGCGTAGTTAGCTGATAGCCAATCAGTTGGTAGCAATAAAGGATGCAAGCCAGCTGGTTGCATTAAAGAGCACGAGCAATCGGGCTGCGAGCTCTTCACCCAATATAATTCAGTGTATAGTGGATGTTGGCTGCTGCAGGAAATGCCCTGGGTGCCGCGGCCGAAAAGACAAGGCGGACGTAGTTATGGCTTGTGTCAAAATTTTCCGTCGCGAAACTGTCACCGCAGTATTTACAATTAAGTCCAGTAACTGCTATGTAACGGAAACACTGCACACGCTGATCAAAAACAGCGTAACATAACTAACGGGAAAAGCCTGCAGTAACAAACAAAGGCATTAGGCAGGCATGTGGACAAGCACCCAACGTGGGGTGGACAGAAGCAATTAAAACACGCGATCAACCATGCAGCATTATCAAACAGCATAGGGATTCGATATCATCTGGAAATCAACCAAATAAACTCAGACTTATTGTGCAGCCTAATGTGGGAAATAAAACAAAGCAGACAGGCGCCAAAATGAGCCGTGGCCAGCCTGAGCCTACCAACGAAGCCTCAAGCCACCAGCGATGACAGGCCGACCCACCGATCCTCGCACCAGCGCCGATATCGACGGAGGACCCGGACAAGCGCCGACATCGATAGAGGACCCGGACCAGCTTCAACACCGCCGAAGAACCCGGGCCAGTGCCGACGGGGGACTCGGACCAGCGCCAACATCGACGAGGAACCCGGACCAGCTCCGACATCGACCGAGGACCCGGACCAGCTCCTACATCAACAGAGGACCCGGTCCAGCTCCAACATCGATCGAGGACCCCGACCAGTGCCGACGGAAGACTCGGACCAGCGCCGTCATCGACAGAGGACCCGGACCAGCTCTGACTTTGACGTACGCCCGGACCAGCGCTAACGGAGGACTCGGACCAGCACCGACGCCGACGGAGGACTCGGACCAGCACCAACGCCGACGGAGGACTCGGACCAGCACCGACGCCGACGGAGGACTCGGACCAGCGCCAACACCGACGGAGGACCCGGCCCAGCGCTGACACCGACGGAGGACTGGCACCGGACCCGGGCAGGACACCCGACGTGACCCACCTGGCCGCCGATGGCGTTGTACACCTCGTTCATCATGGGAGCAGGCGACGAGCGCTTCCCGTGGGAACACGCTCCGACGGCGGCGGCGGCGGCGGCGGCGGACTGGGCGCGCGCGGTGTGAACTGGGAGGGCTCCGGTCGCGCGCCTCCCGCACCACCTCCCACGGCCGCACGACTGCCGGTTGCCCGGGCCACCGAGATTGGCGGCACGCGGCACACGCCCGCCGACCAATGGCGGCCCGGCGCGCCGGTGACGTCACGCCGCCCGCCCGCCCGGCAACCCGCGCCCGTGCGCGCGCGCGCGCCCACCTCCGCGATGGAGAAACGGGTGGACGGAGCATCGGCGAAACGGCGCGGGGTCGCGCTGCGAGCGTGGAAGCCGGAGGCGGCCCGCGCCAGGAGGCCGGGCTGACTCACCACCAAGTCGTACGTTTGTGGCGACTTGGTGACTCAAACGCGGACGCATGCCGCGAGCGCACGAAGTGTGATTCCGAGTCCAATCCAACATGCCGGCTGTTCCAATATGAATGAGCGGGAACGTCCGCTGGGTACGAGCCTGTTGCAAGCGTCATCCACATCATTAACATACTTATCTAATGCAGCGGAGAATATACCCTCTTTGCGCAACGTTCCTCATGTGTAATATGATTACAATGCATACACCTTGATTTAAAAAGGTTATTCCATGAATCCTAAAGAGTGTTTCACTCGACAATCATACACGAACCATAGAAGGCAATACGACTTGATAAGAAACAATTACCTTCCACGGCTCACGCACCAACAAAAAAACAAAAAACAAAAAAAAACCATGGGAACGTCCCGCTGGCCGTAGAGACATCGACTTCAGGACACGGCACGCTTACCGGAGAATACAGTAGAAAGCCAGGGCCCGCGGGAATAGAGAAAACGATAATGTCGCCGGGCCGCTGGCTTACCTGGCAACTCGTCCATCACACGCGATCCGTTGCCATTCTATACAGGCCGGCCACATCAGTGCTGCAGAGAAGGCGATGGGGGGGGGGGGGGGTACTGAATACGATTTTTCCATAGGAGTGCCGGACCTCTTCGGATGTAATCTGCTTCCCAGATTATGATACTGCAGGAGCGAAATGCTCCTTTTCCTTGCGCCAGGGTTTGGCATACTTCAGCCACATTAGCTGCACAGTTAAGTCTGACTCGAAGGGTAGCTACCGATTCAAATTATGAGCAAATGACATAATTGCCCTGGTTGAACTGGCAAACCACCGGCAGCATTGAAATACGAAGTCAATGAGCAATGTAAGCTGCAAAAATCGTAACATTTACAACGCTGGCCAAAACATTATTCACAAAACCCCAGAGAAGCACCCTTGAACCCAAATGATACACATATTAAGCCAGGTTTTGTACGCGTTAATGCTGCGTAAAGCGAGCCATACACCAAGGTTACATTTTGGTGTCATAGAGGAGATGGGCATCACTTTGGAGGGCATTCTGACTTCGAAGTCCGTTAACCAAATATTGGCGCATTTTCGGGGGCTCAACCCCTCATGCGGAGTTCGAGCCATTTAATCCTCTTCTTAACGCTGTTGTCGGGGCTCTGCATGCTAGCTTGCCGGGGCAATCTTAATCGATCACGGCCTATCCAGCGATTTTTCCCGTTCGCCCGGCAGGCTCTACGTTATTGTCATAGTCTGTTAACCTGCCGGGGTACTGTCGATTGCTCAGTAACTCTTTACACTGGTCTCGGGCTCTTTCTGTTTGCTCAGCGCCCTGCGTTGTTACTTGACACAACGTAAGTTTCACTTTCAAACTCGATGCTCAGGGGCCCCTCTTTGTTGACACTGGGCTTTTTTTCATTTGCTCTCCTTTGCGGAGGAGCCTACACTCTCGAAGGGACCCCTTCTGTTCATCTACACGGGCCCTCGTGATTGCACAGGGGTTCGCCATATTGGTCTTGGCAACTTCATATTCGCTCGGACGACGGGAGCCTCCTCGTTGAACAGTCGCGGCAACCTCAATCGCTTAGGTGCCGTCCCTCATGATTTTGGAATTCCCCACTGTCGGAGGGCCTACGCTGTTCACTCATTATGCGTTTGCATCGCATTCTTAGGACAGTTAAAATGCTAACGTATTCGTACCCCCCACCACAGGCAAAGCCAACAGCTGATCACGACACCGACCAACCGGCCAGCCGCCGGACACCGGCCGACCGTAACGGACCTTGTGACCACGTGATCAAGTGTCGTGCTTGATTTTGATGGTTGCGTTGCGCACAATGTCGTTTTTTTTAGTTCGCGTTGCGTACAACGCCTAGTGTTCTTGGGCGGTGCACAGGAAGGTAATTTCCCGTATAAAAATACCCAACATAAAAATCTTAGAATTCACAGGTCAAATGTCAGCATTTTTTTAGGGGTTCCAAACTCTAAGGGGGTGGATACAATGTTGCGTGGCCACCCCTTTCACGAAATTCTGTACCCGTCACTGCATTCGTTTGAGACCCGAAATGTCCTATGTCCTCCATTCCAGGACCTGATAATTGCTTGAACTCAAATGAATAATAACCTACCGTCTGCTGGGATGAGGGGCAATGAACAGCCTACACGAGCAACAAGTATACTGAGGCAGGCAGGTCCCGCTTTGTTGTACCGCTGTTGTACCGTTTGCCCACCGCCTTCACGCTAGCACAATCGGCTGCCTTCGAAGTGGCGCTACAAGCCACTGCATTCTTTTAAAAGGACACTGGAAGCTCCTCAGTCGCATTACTTGATAGTAGGGTATATATTTGGACGCATGAAGCATGCTTTGGTATGGGTGCGGAACGTCGTTTTTGGCATGAGGTTTAATTTGGAGCATGGGAGTAACTGCGTCTCTGAGATAACGGGGGGGGGGGGCAAATCAGGATTAGAATGGTCAAACGGGGGGGAGGGGGCGGAAAAATCTCATTTCTGCGAAAGCTTGAAGATATGCCTTCCCCCTCATACCCCTCCATACTCCCAAGATTTCGAGTTCGCAAAAAAAACAATGTGATGACCAGTTCTTTATCGAATTGAAAGCAAAACCGAATGCAGCACTATCGATTTGCAACCACCATTTTCCACTTTATAAGCTAATTTGTTGCAGCGCGCCGGGTGGGATATGGCTGTGGCAATACCCGACTAAGTGTCATGGTTGCACGTCTGCAAATGGCGGCACGCGTGACCCAGCTGTGCCGATCCTGCTCGGACCTGCAGGCCACAGGACCTGAGGTCCGAGGTCACAGATCAAAGGTCAGGCAGGTCAGGTCCGACCTCGATCCTGCTCGGACCTGCAGGCCACGGGACCTGAGGTCCGAGGTCACAGATCACAGGTCAGGCAGGTCAGGTCGGACCTCGATCCCGCTCGGACCTGCAGGTCACAAGCGTACAGCGGTCCGCCGTCCACACGTCCCTCCTGCAACTCTAGCGGGCGGTGAGCCACCGCTGGCTTCAGTGCGAGACTGGCTCTCTTGCCCCGCAACCAGACGCATTCCTGACGCGAGACACCGGCGGCAACCATGCTCATTCACACCGACCGTAATTAGCTTTGTTTTCCCTGTAACGCGATCCACTTAAAGGACGAGAGCACATGACGAGCCACAACGCACAGAAAATGTGCCCGCGTCCCCGCCGGCCACGGCGGGCGCACGGGTCATTTTTGCCTGCGGCGACGGGCCCCACGGCGTGGGAACGGCTGGTGGTGTCGCCGGGCCGGCCGGGGCGGCGCACGCATGCCACGGTCCGCCTCCCGCGGGCGTCATCAGGTCGGCGCGGTGCGGCGTCCTCCGCCGCGTCGGTCAGCTGTCGGCGGCCAGATTCCTCCTGCGACGTGGCCGCGGGCCGCCACCTGCCGCCGGCGCCGCCGCGGGCCGGCCCCCGGTCCCCCGGCGCCGGCCGGGCGCGCGCCACAACGGCCCAGGAACGCGCGGAATGCGACCGGGGGTCGGCGGCGCCGGCGGCAGGTGGATGGGGCCCGGCGGCGGAGCGTCGGCCGTCGCCGGCAGCGCGGCTGATCCGCCGCGTCGAAACGCAGCCGGCCGGCCGGCACGCCTATTCACGCCCGGACCGCGCTCAAAGGGCGACCGCCGCTCCCACGGCGGGTCGGCACCTGCGCCGCCGCCGCCGCCGCTGCCGACAGCCCGCGCGCAATCACCGCTGACGAAGGTCAACGCACAATGGCCACCTGATGACGGGAGCGAGCAGGGCTGGCCTGGCCGCTGGCGGGCGCGGACCGGCCGGTCAGGGCCTGACGCACTGGGTCAGCCTTGGGCGACGCCGAACGACCGCAGCTCACTGGCGCCGACAGATGGTGACGTGGCCTCGCTCCTCGCCGGAAGTACCACGCGGATCGGCAGTAACTAGGCGCTGACGCCACGCGCGCGCGCGTTGGGACGTGGTGTGACGGGAGCTGAAGACTTTGAATCAAACATAGGGACCTGGCCCTGCGGGCGCAGCGTATACGGAGGCGAACAAAAACAGATCAGAAGGTCCCCACGCCCGTGAGGCCCCCTTGTTCCCATCGCAGCGGCACACTGTGTCAGCAGTCGGTGCCGTGGGCTCCCACGAGACCACCGACCGCCAGCGCTTTATCCCCGGCCGGTCACACGGCCAGGGATGGACCACGCGCGCGTTCAACAGCGCCCACACCTGGCAGCCATAAACGTACACAAGGCGTCCAGGCCGGTCGCTAGCGCAGCCGGCCGGGCCGAGTCCAGGACCGGACAGGGCGACCAGTACCCCAACACCGGAGCCGCACGGGGGTCGGCTCCGCGCGTTCATGCCCCCCTAGGCGGTGTCCCAGTAGGGAGAATCCTATTCCAGACGTCCTAGCTCACTAACTCCCTCGGATGGTGCCACAGCGGAGAAGCTCCTCCAGAGCTCCCCACCCCCAGCGGGCGACCGTCACGCAACTGAGTCACGGAAATTGTCCACATTCATTTACGCGGTGGCCAGGCGAGGAGACTCCCTTCATCTGCTAGCGGCGGAGGCACATGGGCGCGGCGCACACACGAGGCCCCGCCCGTGGCCCCCGTGTCAACACACGACATACGGCGGCGCTTCGATAAAGGCATATTGCCGAAGTATCAACGCATCCATCTCTCCATTCTTCTGCATTTTCTACGAAGAATAATGATATTACTACTTTCTCATCTAGGTGTT